CATGTACGGCACAAATTGGAGCCTGGAGATGATTATAACTGGAACCTTCCAAAAGAATGTCTGTAAACTGTTAACTGTATCAGTGCAAGCATCTTGGTATCTCACAACTGAGGAACAGTTGGTGAGGGGAAAGTATATAATTTACTTAGCTAATACAACCAGATGTGTTTATGCTTAAACTACCATATTAAGGAATGAATTGGTAGAGGGCATTATGTGCATATAATTTTAAATTTGGAGTAGGATGAGACCTGAGCATAACAGCAGTGATTCTTTTCCTGAGTCACGATGGAATTTGCTTTAAATCTGAGTGGAGAACAGACAGGACAGCCATGCTACTTCTAAAGTCACGGGACAAAATCATTTGTTGAGTATAATTAACAACACTAAGTGGAATCAAAGGAAGCCTGTTCAGTACATAAGCTAGTATGGCAAATACAGTTAAGCTTTACTAATACAGTCTGGGTCACTGAAATACCTTCATTTACTTATCTACCTCTCTATTTATTCCAAGGCAGAGGACTAACATCCGTGTACAAAAGAAGTCACGTAGAAAGCACATCTAACTGATGAAAAAAGCTCTCTTGGATGAAAAATAAATACTTTTAAGAGAAAGAATATCTACAGTATGGTACAAAATGGTAACAGCTAGCCAAGAGAGTCAAAAAGGTTTTCTGGCATTGCATATATAAGGTTAACACCCTGGACAAATGTAAGGAGACTTCATAAGCCCTGACTAGCCCCACTGACAGGGAAGTAAAAGCCCATGCCCAGGACTTCGTAGATTTGCATTTTATAAAGCTGTCCAGCAAAATGTGACACAAGGAAGTGTATTGGTTTTAATACTCTTCTGCCACTGTAGAAAGATTAAGAACGTGCACACCATTTTTCTTGCTGCATTTAATAAAGCAATAGAGTTTGCTTGGCCCCTCTGGGATTCTGTGATAGCTGAGATGTGTTTTTGAGCGTGTTTTTTTTAGGAGGAGGGAGCAATTCTTTGGCAGAGGAGGGATGGAGAGAGGGAAGACATTGCTGCTGTGTATCACAGTCCAGTCTGAAATGTCTAGAAACACTTTATATGTATATGTCCATGTTGTTCACTGATGAAAAATCATTTTGGCATCAGCAACTTAGTGTAGCTATCCTACTAAAGAACAGTGAATCAAAACCTGAACTTGCAAAAGTCCCAAGTAATGTGGAGGTTTCAACTTACTCAAATCTCTGCTGTCAAAAGAAAAAGAAATTATTTTAGATAATTTCTAAATTATCTAAATATCTAAATTCTGTTTAGATGACACATTATTCCAAGAACAAAAAAGATTCAAAGTACATATCATTAACTGTGTATAGTTTTGGGAGTCACTGCTTTCCATTGTATGACCATTCATCTGGGTATTTGTCACTGTTTGCTAATCTTTTGTATCCCCCCCCCCCTTTTTATTTTTAATGAGAAGCAAAGCCTTCGTGGCATATAACAGACATAAATAAAAAAAATGGAAAGGAAAAGTGAGGAAGCAATCAGAAATCTGTAAAACTATACAGAATGTAAACTAGCAAAGAGCCAAGACTCTGAATGTTAAAAGCAAATGGAAGCAAAAGTCACTGCCTCCAAGATGGTAATAATGTAAAGATCAAAAACCAGAGCCAACGCCATCAGGTTGACCTATAATTTAAAGGCTGAATGTAGAAGATCCCCCTCACTGCCACCCTTTTTTAAATTAGAATGTTAAAAATACGAAATGTCAAACTTCTGCAAAACAGAAGAACAAAGATGAAGTAAATTCATAAAGCACAAAATAAATCAATACTGTGAATAAACAACATAAGTTTGGTGCCAGTAACCCAGCTGATACATTTTCTGATGGCAAACAGCCTGAAAGAGGTGGCTGGCCTTTGCCAGAGTAAGAGAATAGATCTAAGTAAATTTCATGTGAAAAATATATGAAAAACATCTGCTAAGGACACAAATGTTTTGTTGACTGATGTCAACCACAGGAAAGCTTCCAGTATATCAGCTCTGGGCTTGCCAGCAGGTGTTACTACAATTATTCAGAACAATTAAAGGTGGCATTTCCAAAAGCATAGAGACCAAAAGTATGGAGGGCCAATAAATAAGGCAATCATGATACTGTTCAACAACTGAAATGTACATATATCTCATAAATCTTCTGAGGACCTGTGCAGCAAAGTACCTCAAAGCCAGCCACCATGGCCTCAAATTTTACCAGTTGTACCCATGTGAAATAATACCCTGATCCATGACCGATGCTACTGAAATCCCTGAAATGACCTGATTGCTAAGATACCTCCTTTACTACGGAGTAGAATTTCACCTTGACAAATAGAAATATAACCTAGAGAGAATACACCAGATAGTATTTGCAGATAGCAAGTGTTTTCAATACAAATGGACTTTCACTAATGTTGAAATTTATTACTGGGTTAACTAATTTGATTAGTCTCATTACACTATTTCATTTCTCTTTTCCTTCGCAGAAGATTTCCCGTATTTATGTTATTTCACTGTGGCTATGCTCCAGCTTATAAGAAGGCATAAAACTCAGCTCTAATGTTTAGATGTCAGGTTTCTCAGTATACTTTAAGTTTGACTATATGTACTATATTCTCCGCCTGGGCGCACATGCTAGCATTAATTTGTAGATCAACACCAAACACAGCATCAATCTACTTATGCCTAAAATCTCCCCTTTCTTCCCATTAATGAACTGCATCATTCACACCCAACAACATCAGGAATTTTTAGGGAATGTTCTCAAAATTATATCCACCTCATGATACGCTCTCCAGTCTGACTGAAACTGCATTCTTAATTCAGTCATCATTCAAAAGAAATTGGGACTTGTATTTTTTAAGCCATTCATCTTTCTAACTACATTGATAAGAAGAAGTCTATGAAAAAAACTAGATTGGACATGAGATGACTTGCATAATTTTGAACCGTTAAATTACTGGTCACAGAAATCAACTTCCTCACACTGAATTGCAGTCATGACCTTGCATCCCTTGAGTTGCTGTCTTGCTGCTAGAATTTTTCCTGCTGACTTCAGTGGACTCTTACAGCAAAAGCAAAACCCTCTGTCATTTTCATCATGCCGTGCATTTCACGGAAAACCTGAACTGAAAAGAGATAGCAACTTTTAATTCATTTGAGTTCATCTGCCCTAAGACAAGCATGCCTGGTTATTTTGATGTTATATTATGAAGACATAATCTAAATACCTGTCCTCAGGACCAAGAGTTAACCCTCCTTCCCAGGCACATTCTACAAAGTACTGACTGACTTAATGCAGATGGAGTAACCACACTGCAGTTCATTTTTCTTTTTTATAATTAATTTTCAATTGTTCATACGCTTACAGCTGAAAGTTAATTACATGCTCAAGTCACTTACTCTGAGATTAAATGGCCCCAATTCCTTGTACGCCCAGAATAAGTTAACACACTCGCAGCTCTCATCTTAAAAACATGCACGTTGCTATTTCCCTACAGGAAAGAAGCATTAACAGAGACTTTGAAAATCTTCTTAGGATGCAAATTGCTATTTAAGTGGTAGATACTACTTTATTTTAAAGAGCTCTAAGGGTGGAAAAAGTTAAAATGCTGCTAACTGGCAGAAATACTCAAAACCTCCATGACAGAAATAAGACCTGGTAGTGCAAGTATAAGATGAAAAGTGGTTTGGCAGAAGGGACACAATGAAATTTGTATTTGTCTCACAATGACTCCAAAGTACATTTTCTTGAGCTACATGTTTAAAACAAATACACCCAATAAGAAAACTAGTTGTTCTTCTAACAGCCCACTTTACAAACCACACCTGACACCTGACCTGAAGCTACACTGCATGCTCTCTGGCTCACATTAGAAAACAATTAACAATTTTATTGACAATCAACAAACCAGAATAGAATACAGCTCATTTTCTCATACTGCTATAGAGCCAATAAAAGTAAAAAGTCATCAGCATTTATTTTTGAACTAAGGAAAGCAGATATATCTTGGAAGAGAGACAGATTTTGGATCTCTGGAGAAGGATGACAGCATTTGTACAGTCATTTTCTGACCATATATGCACTTTACAAACAATTCCCCTATCCCACAGCATCTTAGCATGGCTTGTTCAGAACTGGAAAAGTGACTGCATTTTAAATAGCATCCCTTTTGAGCCACATCCACTGGGTATGTGATTTCCTTCCCTCAAACCATTGAAAATGGCTGCAGAAAAACTCTTTGCCTCATGACAGATGCACAGCTGCTCTCAGCTGATTAGGAAATAGAGTTAATACCTGCCATGCAATGCCTACACTATTACAATGAAATAAGAAACATCTTTGTTCTAACTAGGTATATATTAAAGCAAAAAGCATGTACCATATATGTGCTTCCTCATCTTTTCAGGAAGTAAAGCAGGATGGTCTGAGAGAAAACGACCCAGCTAGCCCACACTGCTGCTGCTGACTGCTTTGGCACTGCTTTTGAAGGGACAGGCTCTGAAGCCAAAGCAGCATGGCTGGGGAGCTCGGAGACACATGAAAGAAAAGCCCTGAAAGCCCCTCTGAACAAAAAGGAAAGGGACACCTGGTTTAAACTTGACTTAAAAGACTGGCTGAGACAAGGCAGGCCAGAGCAATCACAAGAAGGTTAACCACGACACCCTTACAAATTCATTCCATTATCCTACTGAGAAAAAGATAAAAGCTAGCCTCAAACCCAGGGTGACCCTGTGCACCATGTAGGGAGGAGACAAGCACTGTGAAGCAGAAATAGAGGGGAACATAAGCTGGTACCTACCTGGCCTGCTTTTACTGGCAAAAGATAACTAAAAGCCATGCATCTACTAAAGAAACCAGAACTACTATGCTACACATACATCAAACATATTAGACATGCACTGTTCAGCACAAAGAGCAAAGAATTATCTCAAGTGGAAAACATCCCCAGTGAAGGGCACAGCACAGCATCTCACATCATAAACTCACCTCTGAAGGCACCAGAAGCCCCTGGGCAGCTGCTGCCTAACCCCCAGAACTGCAAAGGGCTGCCCACCAATCACACCAGCTGTGAGCCAGTCTCCAAATTCAGTGGCCACGACAAGTGTGCTGGCAGAAGTGGTTTCTTCCAAGCCAAGGCAACAATGGGCCTCTGGGTGAAGGCTGAGCAACCCACCTCCAGGACAAACTGGGCCAGGTTTCAGTGCGCTTGCCCCTGTTAAATACTCTCACAAGGAGGAAGAGTATTATAACACACACAGAGAAAAAATTAATTACCAAGACAAAGGGTTGCAAACTCCATCATTCACAGGTCCCACATTAATGATTAGCTAACCAAACTAGCCGCCCAGTTGGTAATTTGATTCATTGGAAAGGAAAAGGCACTCTACGGACCTTGACAGGTTTTAGCAGAACTGCGCGTCCCAGGTCATCCTGCTTCCCCCTGCCTACACCATCTCATTGTCAAGCTCAATTTGCTAGCAAGGTCCTGACAATAAACACAAGATACATTTCAAGGTTAGTAGGCAAAACTCTTGATGGATGTCATGATAAGCCATTGTAGTGATAAAGTAAAGGAGATGCAGGGGTGGAAAGCATTGGGTTTTTTGTTTTGTTTAACAAATGGCACAACCTTATTCAATTACCACCCTTCATTTACCTTACCTTGATCAGCAATACTTCATATGTACCTATGACTACTAAAAGTAAGCAGAAAAACATTCCTGGGAACTTGAAGGATATTATTTATGGCTTAGAGGGAGAAATGAATGGTCTGCTAACCTGTCTAGATACTGATATGTAATTTTCCAAGTCAAAGCACTGGGACAATGTGCTTGTTAATTAAAAATCACACTTTACACTTACGCTTTCTGAGGTGGGATGAAATACAGTAAATAACTACGATTCACTGGCGTTTTTTAATTTTTATAGAAACTGTGGTCCCACTTCAGTGCCCTTGGCACATAGCGCAAAGTCTAAGTAAAGGGTATGTTGACCTTAAGAGAGAAATATCAAACATATGGCCTGTGGGCAAAGTAACAATGTGGGTCACAAAGGCTTAAGAAAAATCAGAATATTTGTCTTCTGCTGTGAGAAACAGCCATTTTGACATCAAAAGCAACAGGCTGAACTTTTAATTTGTGTTTTAGAACACAAGAGTAGTTGCCTGGTTCTTCCTCTGCATGGTCAGTGAAGCACACTCATTTTGTTGGGGTCATCCATCGTAAAATCTGTCCGTATCAGCCAATATGGAAGACAGCTTCTAAACTAAAAAGCACATTAGAAGCTCAGGCACTTTTCCCAAACCCTTCTTTCTGTAGGTGTTTTGTGCATTTATAAATCCAAAGGTACAAGAATGACAATCTAGATCAGATTTCAAGATCTGTCTGGGGCTACCAGTACTCAACTGGTAGTAATTTAACTCCAAACCACAGAAAAGGGTTAGCAATGACCATATTTTTTTTTAATACAAATATTAAACCCTACAAAGAAATTAGAATCAGCAGTAAACAGAAAAAGAAAACCAACCCTTTTTTTAAACAGCATGAGAACTTGAGTATTCTTTATGCTCTCAGTACTCATATATCAATCACATCATAGGCTAAGATAAACTTGAAAGAACTGTTCATACTGCAAATGCTTTTTCTAAACCAGCATTAATAAGAGACCACGTGTAATTCTCTGCATTCTTGGTCTGTCTAAACGAGCGCTGGTTAAGTGTATGTCTTGCTCAAGTAAGACCAGACTTCCTGTGGAGGGCGGAAAAAGATAAAGGTCAGTGATCAAGGGATTCAGTGCCCACAAATACAGTCTTCTGTAAACACATGTTGTTGAATGTGCACCTGCTCTCAGGGTAAGCAGCACTTCCCTCGGACAGTTAATACTCTCATAGTATATATATATATACATAACATTGTTCCTGTAACCACTTTGCCTAAAATTTTCTCACCCACGGAGGAAATTCACTGATCAGAAGCACTTAGTAGGGATTTGCAAATACAAATAAAACTGCAAAATCCAATACACGCTACCAATTCCAGGAGTAAATTCCAGTGCCAGTTCAGGTTTTAAATATCGATGGCATCGTGCCAATAACACTGCTATATGGTACACCTGCAGAAGGGTTCAAAAGTTCTGATTAGGAAGGTTTTCAGCTTAGGAAAAGAATATGCTCAGTTGTAGAAAAGGCAAAATCTCTTCCAGGGGAGACAGAAGCCAAACAGGAGCTGTCCTGAATATAGAAAAAGCACTTACTCCAAAACATAAATGGTTTTCTTTGGTCACCTAAGTGAATTCTTGCTTTTTTAATTTGCTCTTGAATTCATCACAAAACCTGAAGATCTCCCAGAGTCACCTTTATCGAGCTACGGCAATGAAAAGATGCAGGTGCCACTCTTCTGACACTAAAAAACTATCACAACTGAGGTGACACTGGCATAGAAAGTAAATTTATGTCAATTTTCCATCTCTGAATAGTAGCACAGCTTTATTTTTTTTAAAGAGCATAACAAAGTAGAGGAAACCAACTCAAAGACTGAAATAAATACGGAAATGTGTAATACCAGGAAACAAGACGAAGTCTGAATGGGTCATGGCCAAGAAATCTGATAGAAAGGAGTATTTTTTAAAAAGAGATATTTTACTCTTAAGTCTCTTGAAGCCAAGATATTTCAAAAAATATACTCAAAAATCACAGAGGGAGAGAATATTATTCCAGAATACTTAATAGCCTGCTCTGAATTACAGAATTTATGCCCAAAAGATAGTATTTTTTAAAAGAGATAAACATGTTAGAAGAGTCACTCACAACAGATCCAGGTTTGAGACCCCAGCACAGTAAGCATCTTGGCATATGTACTAAGAGAAATAGGTTTGGATGGAGAGGCTTGAGAAACTCAGTACTTCATAGGGTACTGTGGGAAGTGCTCAGCCACAGTATGGGAAATAAGGGCCCACATCCCTGACATGAATCAAGCAAACCCATGAGATTAAATGTGAATTCTTCATAACCCACATATGTGCTCTCTCCATGAGGTATTAGCTATTTAACATGATGTTCTTTGTAGTTCTGGTTGTGCCTAGAAACTCATTCCCAGACCCAAGACAGCTTTCCCAATTAAAATTTCTTCAAAATTGATGCCTTAGAAGCTAAGCTCCCACAGTGGCATACCACCACTGGAAATAACATCAGAAATCATGCTCAGCCCTCTCCCCACTCCGATAAATCGCTGAAATCCCCACAGATTACCTAACATTTTTTTGTGCAGCATACCTTGTGTAAGGACTCCAACAGGCAACCTTCAACCAAGACATGCATCTATTTCTATGAGGTTACCTTTACATACTTTCTTTTAAAAAAAAAAATCTATTTCTCCTTTGATTACTTTTTGGGTTTTCTGGGCCACACCATAATCTCATTTCCCTCATGAATGCAGAGCATGTATGACACTCTTGTAATCAACCTGATTACTCACTTCTGATGGTGACTCCTCAGATGGAACATGAGAGTAAGCCAAACAGCAAGCAAACACAACATGAAAGCAAACGTCCCAGTTTACACCATTCCTGGAAATGCAGCTGCTAAAACTCAAATTATACAATGAACTGCATGCTCCAGAATGACTAAGAGAAGGGGTAGGCTGGCTTTTGACATTCAAAACACCAAAGATAACCCACATCCAACCCCACACACAGCCATGGTCATGAAGAGATAGAGCCATGCCCACTAACGTATTTCTATGTCTTTGTTCCTGCTCCAATTTTAAGAGGGAGAAGGGAGCATCATAAAAAAAGTTATTCCTACTGTACTTCCCTGTGGAGCCTTCCTAGCCACCAGCTTTATAAAGCCTCTGGAAGACAACTTCAGCCAGCTCAGCCTGGGAGTTCATCCCTTCCTGACAGCCCTCCCAGGCATTTTCACAATAGTCAGAACTCCCCAACATTAACCCCTGCAACACCTAATGCTGCTACAATTCCTACAGACACAAGCACTAAAGAGGCAGTGTGTGACTTTTCTCACCCCGGCCCCAGCAGGTAATTGGAGTTTCCATGGATAATCCCAGCAATCAGAGAGAAAATCTCTGCCTCTAACATGACCCATTAGCACAGAGTTCACCGATCAGTAGGTTAACATGCCATTAAAGCATCTCTCTATGGGGCTTAGGAAGGGTCAAGAAAACTCCATCACAAAGAACAAAAATATCTAAGGAGCTCATATGCTGTTATACCAAGATCTTCATCAACAGGTCAGATTCAGCCCAGAGGCTATTCTCTTCCCTGTGGCGAGACCAGCAATATCTGCAATCCTGACATTACACTCCACAGCTTCCTTTGAGTATCAATTAAATATTTAAAATAGAAAATGTTTTACTAAGTTATATGTGAAAGCAAATAACCTACCTCATTATAAGGTCAGATGGATACCATTCTGCAACAAATACTTCCCCACACTGTACGCATGTGCAGTTTACAGTCCCTGGTTATAAATGAGAGACCTTTTTTTTACCCATTACCAACAGGTAAGCCACTTTAGCACAGGGTAATATATATGCAGAGGCAGCTACTGAAGAACAGTTTATGCTCTGTAAGGACCACGCTGGTTTGCCAAAGGTAAATCACATGTATGCCTACAGCAGTAAAAGGCACAACAGTGCAATACAGTAATAGTAAAAACTGACAAGGCTGTGATCAACTAGGGATGTGCAGTGACAACAATGAAACTCTGAGAATTTAGACTAATGCCAGCAATCTACCATGCAAAGTCCCTTTTCAACAACTCACTTCTTGGCCAAGATACCAGACAAAAGAACATCCATATCACCTTCTAGCAGAAGCTCAGATAAATTTGAGTAAGGAAGAAGGAAAAAATAGGAGGTGTCACTTTATCATTTATTGATAAACTTCAAATAGATGTAACAGTGCTATCTGTCCATAAAATACACTGGTTATAAGGCAGCTGATTCATTGTTTTATTTTATTTTTTTTCTCGTCTCAATGCCCATGTACTCAAATAGCTCCATAATGAGAGAATTTCCCAGCAGATTAGGTTTATTAGTGTTAATTGTCCATATAATGTACATTTCTGTCTCACCTGTTGCATTTCTCAAAGTAGTTTCTTTATGTTTCTTGTGTTTGTCATAACCAGGGTTCTAACTGAAATGTGGAATATATAATACACATAGGAAATTATGATCACCATGATCTTTAAATATATACAAGTTTTTCTGCAGTTTCTCAATATAGATTGCTTTTCTTATCTGGAAACCACCACTGTTCTCCTTTACTTCTAAGTCTTAAACCATGCATGCAAAATGTTGGTGTTAACAAGTAAAGTTCAGGATCTAATGTGAGCCCTATCTTGAATTTCCTTTTATTTGTTAGTTTGAGTCTCAAGCTTAAAGTTATTTTAACACACTTTTGTTTTCAACACATACTCAGTATGTGTCTAACACCCTCTGGAG